TTCTACTGATTCCATATTTTTGAAAGTTCATTCCTACATTGAACTGTACCAATCAAGTTTGACAAGATTGGACAATCGGATACATGCATATTGCCAATTGTTATAAACTATTGTTTTTTCTCAAATCATTTCATTATTTGCATATAATTTTGGAAAATTTAGAATCAATGCTTAATGAATTTTTATTCTAAACTTTGATGTTGCATAATTTTTCTAATTCAAAGATTTTTTAACTTTTATTACGTTGAAATAAATGAATCTCAATGTTTGATATCCATCTGATAATGTTTGATGATTCATCATGTGTGCTCTAGATACATCTAACATTTGTCTAACTATTAAAATTGCTTCATTCATGGTGAAAAAATTTCCTATAATCAACTTTTTGTGTATTTAATCTTTTAGTTTTTGTTTGAACACATCTAAGATTTTTTTCCTAATCATATTCATGACAAATACTTAGAGGTCACAAATTTTCTTCCATGTATTCATGCATACATTTTTTGCTTCAAATTTAAAATTTTATTTTTTGAGTTTTAAAACAATCAATAATTTAACATTTTAACAAATTTTACTTATTTTTTCCATTTTATGAGATTGTCATAACTTTTTTTTACACCATATGTTGTATTATATTGTATGATAAATAATTATTTTTATGAGAGAAAATGTCATGAACATTCTTGCAATAAAATTTGAAGTATCAAAATAAAACAAATGTATATTTATTCTCATAATCTAATCTTCTAAAACTTCAATTATTTTATTATTCTAATATATATTCATTTACCAAAACTTTCATACAAAGCAAAAGAATTACTTCGTTTTTTATTTTTTTAAATAAATAAATTTGTGACTACTCAATATTGATTAAGGTTTAACTTATATTTTCAATACAAAAGTTTCAACTTCCATCTCTCTAACTCGTTATTTTTCCGATATAATTTTTCTCTTGCCAAAATTTTATCACACATGTTTTGATTTCTTGTATGTTTCTACACTACTGCTTTTCATAACTCTTTCATCTCATTTATGATCACATTCAAGAACTCATTCACATTAAATGATGTTTCATGCTTATTTCACTCATTATAATATAGAGTGAAAATGAAAACCTTTCAAACTTTCAATATAAAAATCACAAAAGATTAGTTTTATCTTACAATAGCTCTAAAATATCATTCATCAATATTTACTAACCAAATGTTATTTTCAATTTTTTTTGACAATGTACATGTTGATTTAAATCAGAGCAGATGATTCTTAATTTAAATAAAAAAAATAATTAATGTATTCTATAAATGATATTGTATCATTTCATACGTTTTTGACACTTAGAAATATCAATAGCGTCATCAATTTAATTACTCCAATCATAATATCTTCATTTTGACAAGCACATTGTACATCCAAAAATGTTATTTTTATGAAACAGAAATGAATGCTAAATAAAATGAAGACTGAATAATATGATGTTAGACTCTTTTCAAAATTTTTCATATTTACAAAACCACATATTTTTTAATTATTTTCTCTCTTGACATGCAAATCAATGATTTTTACTAATCCTTATATAATATAAAGTTTTAAAATCTATCAATTTTTTGTTATTCCATTAGAGATTAATTTTACCCAAGAAAAATAAAAAATAGCTTTTATATCATTTCAATACAAGTGATTAAATGATGAATTCACTTTTAGATGAAAGACAACTTTTAAAAATAAAAAATATCTAGAATGATTCATTTTCCCCTTATGTAGATATTTTTATCAATTGCAAGAAGATAATGTCATAATCTCATCATTCATTTCTCTCCTTGTGAATTGATGATATGACAAATATATATAACAAGCACGCATGTACCTTACGTGTTGTTATCAACTTATTCTAACTAAGGCATTTAATTGAAACTAAACAAGCTCATGAATTGTTGACTTTACTATCACAATCAATTCTTAGTCTACCAAGCATACGAATTGCTGACAAAAATGGATATTCCAATCATAAATCAATCTTATCTTTATCTTGGGTAAGCTTTATATTACTTATTACAACTTAAGATGTTTAAGGTTCTATTAAGATTCATATTTTCTTGATATAAATTACACTTTAGCTATCATCAAACGGTACATATCATCATTTTATCATATTAGCCATGTGAGCACACATCATTATGTTGACCAAATTTTTATGACAATTTTTGTCCTACTCAAATTTGACAATCATAGTCACAAAAATCTCTAACATGACTTCAAATTAAATGAGAATGAAAATTTGATTTATTTATCTAATTCATGTTTAAACTTTGATAGTTTGATTTAACAATAATTTATTTTAGAAAAAATATATTTTAATTGGAGTGTTAATAGAGATATATAAATATTTACAGCATATTTTTGTAAAAGTCAAAGGAAATCTTGTGGTTTGTAATAATAATGCTTCTTTTGTTTAACACATAGAATCATTTATGGACTATGTCAAAGAGATGATAGGTTAGAGTTTGTAATGTTAGTTAACAAGTTTAACTGATTAAAGGTAAATTAAATTTTAAATTAAAAAAAATTTAAAAAATTTCCCATTAAGATTTATTGAAATATTGTGCAAGACTATATAAGTACAACATATTACATTATTAGGAATTTTATTCTAATCATTATATTTTAATTTTTCCATATCTATTTATAATTAGGGTTATAAAAGAATTTTTTATTTTGATATGATAATTTCATGTTGTTTCTACATCTTTTGATATTCATAATTTTAAAATTATATATACTATAATGTATAATTTTATTTGGGCTAGTCCTCTACAAATATATGAATCTTTATTGATATGGGTTTGGAACTGTTGTCATTGCTGGTGTGGAAGGTTGTAGATTTGTGAGATATTTCAGTGCATGGGGTTGGATGGATTTTAGTCCGCTAAAGGTTAAGATCTAAACCAGCTGGGAATAATCCAAATATGTAAACATTTTTGTCTGGTCTAGTTAAGCAGTAACCTCATTAAAACACGTTTAAAGATTCTTCATCACTTTGTAATAAACTAAAGCTGAAGAAAATTCAAACCTCTACATTGCGAAACGGTGATAATCTTAACAAGAGATGAGCCTTACTTCTAACTTGGAAATAATTACACCATTTTTTGTGAAGATTGATTCAAAGATCCAGATCCAACTGACTTGAAGCATAAAAGTATTCTATAACTGCTTGAAAATTACTATGCTCCACCTTACAATAAACAAACCATAAGCTCTGCTGCCCAAGAAAATCTTAACAGTGACCGAGTAATGCATCAAGAAGATCTAGCAAAAGCGACTTGCTTTCTATGTATAATTTTCATCGTCAACTTGGGAATGTGGTCTCGACAGGGCATTAGCGCACAATATTTTTTGCTTACAATATGTGAAAAATATTGTTATAATAAAAAAATCAAGCATTCACATTATCATAACATTAGATATTATGAGTATAATTATAATACTTAAGTGATCAAAATAATTCATAGTTGCTAGTACCAAAGTGTACTTGATATGCAGATCTCATTCCGGGAAATTCTCAGGTATGTTTCACCTCAATCCGGTTGGAACCCAGTCGGATGAGATTTGGCGCATGCTGTAATTTTAAAACAACATCATGACCGATCGACTGTCGTCCATGCCAACAATGGAAGGCAAGAAGGTTGACTTCGTCATAGCATGCGAGTTCCTGTACACAGAGGAGTCTGTGGGAGAGAACCTTGGTCTGAAAATGCAGAATTATCGAGCATTGGTATGGCATCTCATAGTGCGAAACTGTGGATAGAATACTTCATTTAAGAGATGGATGATGTCGTTCTAACATTCTGTTGGAACCTTCGACATGATTTATGGAGCAGGAGAAGAACGAACTTCCGAGGAGATGCGAAAGTTCATGACAGATGTCGATTTTATCTCATCCGTAATGGTCATCGTCGGAAGCAGATGCTGAGAATAAGCCGCCCGACTGACCGACAGAAATGAACGGCTCGAAGAAGAAGCGGGCACTGTGGAGAAGGTGCAGCTGGCTCATCTGTTATATTAACGAAAATAGATTAGAAAGGGATGCCTATCCAGCGCATTAACAGGTTTGCAGAAGTCAAGCAGCATGTCTCGCGCATGATCCTCGAAGATCCATCGTCCCGGCGCTCCCATTGGTTCCACCTCTGGCACACCATTATTATCGGCTCGAGTACACACGAGCTCTCAGCATTTGATTTGGTGGCGTTTTTCCTTCGGGAATCCGGGCATCATTTGCTCAGCATTCGACGACAGCTTCTCGAGGCAAAAGGACAACGTCGACGTGAATCCACTCCTCTGACTCCGATTTACCGTCGACGGATCTACTCTTCTATGTGGTCGAAGAGATACGCCACTCGAGAGCCTGCGCAGAAAGGGCTCAGCAACATACGCGGTCAATAATTGCATCGTCCTTCGCGCTCGGGAAATTGCGAACTGCGCAGGATTGTTGTCTACTGTTCTGTATCCTGTGACTCCCGTCTTCCTGTTTGCATGCATACGAGAACGCGCATCCGAATCTACACCATCCGCGCTGAATGCAGTGCAGAAGGGTACGCTGCGGAGCCGGCTTCCAGCTTTCCTCTCTTTCCTGGACGCGTCACGAGCTACCGGTATAATTACAGCCTCGAGCAACCCCAGTAGCGCAAGGCCCAGCTAGACCATTGCCTTGGACGATAGTGAGAACCGAGTGATATAGTAGGGTCCTCGATTCATGCCAAAGGGGACGATTATGATTGCAACCATAACCTGTGTAAGAAAACATGTGTTGATTTCATGGTCCACAGATTTTTCCCGTGTAGAAAGCTCTTTTTCTTACCAGATCCTTATCAGAAGTCCTGAGATTTTCAAACATTTTTTGGTTGATGATATTTACCACCTCATCACTTTGAAGTCAGCAGATTTTTTCTAAATAGCTGTAAACGAATACTAATTTTCTTTTGTTTTTCTACCTTCTCCAAAATTCAGAATGGAATTTGACCTACTAGGAGCTTCAGTCTTGACTCTTTATGTCCGGTGAGATTCTCGGAGAGGAGAGAAACGTTGGGAACTGGAACAGGCGGGCAGGTTTAATGGCAAAGTTTGTAACGTTGTATTACTGCGCATTAAGGGTTACCAGGGAGAGAATATAGTGTATAGTATAGCACGTGGAGGACGTACGAATACGCATACTATACGGGACGACTTTCTGAGAGGCTGCATAACAGCGGTGCATATTCCGGTGGACTCGAGGGCACGATGATGAAAAGGGCTTATCCAGTACGACCGGGGTTTGAGGGCGGACCGTGGACCCCACGATAGAGGAGAGGGAGGGAAGAATAGCCAAGGCCTCGAGCGTTCGCAATTCGGCGACACAGCGCGCGTGCTGCTTTTGCGCGAATAATACAGAACGCGAGAGTAATGTCCTCTAGCAGCGGCGCGGAGAATGCGACGGGACCCACCGTCGTCGAGTCGAGCCTGCGGCGGCTGGAAAGTCTCAGGACCCACAGCGAAAGCCGGGCAGATAGATTGCGAACGTTCATTCATTCCGATTCATCGCCAGCCATCGCCATCGCCATGACGAGCTCGCGAGATGGATCATGGAGATGTGGATGGCCCTCGCCCCTCGCCCCTCTCGCTCGCGATGGTTGCTGCTGCTGGCTGCTCTTCGCGGCCACAGACTCCACAGCCACAAGTGTCCTCTCCTACGTCCCTCCCTCGCTCCCTCCCTCCTCTCGATCGCGCCGCTCCGACGACGTCCTTCGGGCGGCTCCCCGTGTTGACGTTGGCGCTGACTCTTTGACCGCTCCCCCTCGTTTCGCGCAATTCGCCTACAAACGGCCTCCTGATCCCGCCCCCCACTGCTCTTCCCCTTTCGGATCTTGATCTCGCGGATCCTCTCTCTCTCTCTCTCTCTTAGACAACTTATTCTGTGGCATCGGCACGAAGTCGCCGGCTGTCTTCGGGCATTCGCACTCGGGCTCGTTGCGGATCAGACTCACTCTTCTGGAGGGACATGCTGGTGCGAATCTAGTGCTGTCATCGGTGGATTGATTGCTCGCTTGCAGCGGTGGTGGTGGTCAGGCGATTGGGTGCTCGAGCTGCAGTGTCGACGGAGGAGTTGGTTCTTGGGTTCTTTGGGTTCTTTCTGCACGCACGAACCAGCGCGCGGGCGGGCGATTTCGGAGCTGAGTGATCGGAGCGGCGAGATTCGAATTAGGGGACGGGAGATGCAGGAGGGAGGATCGGGCACGTAGAAGGCAGGCAGAGGGCCGAGGAAAATTGAGAATTGTCGGGGAGGGCGAGAGCAGGGATCAGAAGATGGGGAACGTCATGGGGAAGAAGAAGCGGAAGGCTGCGGCGATCGCCAAGGCCAAGGCCAAGGCGAACGAGCACGTGGTGGCGCTGACGTCGACGAGCTACTTGCAGATCGAGCTGCCGCGGGAGATCGTCGAGGACCTGGAGCGACCGCGCAAGGGGCCCGGCGGCTGGGGCGCAGGAATCGCAGACCCCGCGCACGAGATGTACGAGAAGCTGAAGAGCCTGGATCAGCCGGCCGTCATGGTGCCCAAGCCGTGGTCCGAAGTGGACCAAATTCTGTCGAAGCTCAAGCCGCAAGCATCCGCCGCGTCGCCGAAAACCCCGAGATTCATGTCGCCCTCCATCAAGGCCAAGGAGAAGATGGTGCTCGAGGCGCCGCCGTCGCCGCCCGCCTCCATCATCGACATGGGCGAGCTGATGGACGGCCTGGACGACGAGGCTCGCCGCAGCATCTCGCTCTCCGGGCGCAACTACCGCGACGAGCTCAACATCGACCCCATGGAATTCATCAAGACCAAGCCTTTCAATCCGCGCAAGGTCAAGAGCCTCGAGCACACGCTCTCCTTCTCCACCATCCACACGGTGCGCGAGCTCGACGCCGGCCCGTCCAAGGCCGTTGTCCAGCCCGAGACCGTTGAGAACGTGCTGCGGCGCCGCGGCGCCTCGCCCGCCCGCCGCTCCAACGACATGAGCTCGCCCGCTCGCCTCTCGCACGAGCTCTCGCGCCGCTCCAACGAGCTCACTCGCCGCTCCTCCGAGATCCTGCGCCGCTCCACCGAAATTCAGCGCCGCTCCAGCGAGTTCCAGCGCCGCTCCTCGGAGCAGCCTCGTCCTTTCTCCGAGATCTCCTTCGCTCACGCTGACTCCCTGCGCAGTCTCGTGTCGGGCTAGTGTCGTCAGCCCCGGCCCGCAGTCCTGCGTTTTCTACATCGCTTTCCATCGACAGAAGGACGACTCCGGGAAAGGATACCACCATGTAATATATATCGAGTAGTTTTGTTCGGTCTCACCCATGCAGTTGAAAATTGGCAGCTGTGCGAGAAGAGATGAGAAGAGAGAACCTGCAACACTTAAGGAATATCGGTGTCACCGAAACTGGTTTCACCACCGCGAGGCTTTAGGTAGTTATAGATTGCGCTTGTGATGTAACATGTACAAACCTGAGAAAAAGATCCTGTGGAGTACTAACGCTGCTCAGACGGCCCACGTTCTCGAGCTCAGAATTCTGTGATTTGAAGAAGATCGTTCTGTGTACATGTCGGTGCGGTGTGCGGTGAGTGGTTTGATTTTGCTGCATTTTGACTTTGCGGTCCATGGGGCCAGCGTTTGATGGCGTAATGAGGGATCACGCCATCATGGGCTTGTATATCTTAAGACTTCCGGGTGTCGTCTCAGTGTCATGAATTCTAGGACATCGCGTTTAAGTTGTCGAAAGGAATGGCTGGTCTTGATTCTTCGTCACTCACGTACTATTCGCTTCTCTGACTCATGTCTGCCAGTGAATCTGAGATAATCCAAGCTCGTTAATATAAAGAGTCCAATTACCAATCCAGCTCTGAACGAGAAGTTATCTATCAGCACTCGATACGGATATTTATCAGCATATTCAGACGTCCGGTTTGGACTCTCGATCATGAAACTCTGCTTGACAGAGCTTTATCCGAGGGAAACAATGCTTAATGTCCGACTGAACCGCGAACAGCAAACACATGAAGCCGGTTCGAAGCTTACGTGTACAGAACAGAAAGACGAGTCCTCCATGATGTTTTGTTCGAAGAAAATGTAAAAAGTTTGTACGGAGAGCATAGAACAAGTTCGCCCCATACTCACTGCAACTCACCTTTCGAATAGTTTCCGCATATTCACACTGCGTAATGCGAAATTGAAGGTGATGGGTAAACATGTTCACAGCTGTCGAGACATCTGCTGTACCATCCTGTGATCTTGACAAAAAATGGCAGAAATGCAATGTGAGTATGCTTCGATAAACGGCGTAATATCCAATACTGCTCTGGACAGTACTGTGATATTATCTGGGTTCAAACTTTTTGTCCACCCTCACATCGTCGTTTACGTTACATGAGTGACCGATGGGCAATCCTCGCTTGTGGCGAATGCATCAAATTAGGCCCACATCTCTTGCGATCCCGGAGAACGTGGAAATAAGCGTGAAAATCGTACATGACATCCATAAGTCGTAACCCACGGGTCTAAACTTTCTCTTCGGTCTCGCTGAAAGTCTCTGTATACTTCCACATTTGGATTAGCTGCTACAACTCCTCAATGTTACAACGAATGTCCAGTTAGTAGAAGGGTTTCGTAAACATGGAAGTCAAACAATGTGCCTATTTAACGTCCACCTCTCTCTCAGTACGTTCAAAGTTAGAATCAGGTACCCTTCTCTGTCACGAGCCTGTCAACATTTGTGTCACAATTGGAATAAATGCCTCACTTGGCGGAAAAGAACGGCGGAGCTCGTTATTTTAGCTCCGCCGGTCTTTTTCGCTCGTTTCGTACTTGTATAGCGAGGTTGTAAACTGTTGTGTCAGGACTGGCACAAAATGCCTTGTATTCTTCTAGTACTTGCATAGCGAGCTCCACTATTCTTTTTTGCTCTTCTACATGCCCACACGCTGTTTGCATATAATCGGATCAAGTAATTCTATCCGCGAGGGAAGCAGACAAAATTTGAATAAAAATTGATATGATTCTCGATCCTCTTTGTGGACCAAATATATATTACAAGCAAACAACCCATGTGATATTGCATAAGTTGCGCGTGGCCGAAGCTCTTGTAACAAGAAAGACGACGATCAATTGAAAAGAGAAATTTGATTAGTACGTGCAAGAATTGGATCTCCAATTGTGGACTCATCATCATGAACGTGTGGTTTACATCTAATCTGTCTTAGTACATATGTATGTTTAGACGCAGTTTAGATTATGTTAAATTGCTTATGAGTGAAATGCTTCAGTAAAGCAAGCGTTGAACAATAGTCCTCTCGTCCACGGCGGTTCTCGAGATGGATACCAAGAATTCTGAAAGTTGTCCCATCAAAGGAGCTAGATGAGGTGATTTATATCTTGGAACAAGAATGTGTGTGTGTGTGAAAATCTTGAGTTTATCCGACGCAAGCAAAGAGCTCTAAGTGAGATCGTGAAGAGGAGAAGAATGCTAGTTTATTCGGTACCAAATTGGAGAAGTAATTTCGATACCAAATTGGTTGCCGTGTCTTTTGAGAGGTCAACCAGGATAAGCTTGAACTACCTGGTTGTGAAATACAACAACCAGATGTAGAGGAACTGATGCGATCTTTGGACCGAAGAGCTAACGGATCACATAGGATCTACGAACGCATCTGTCGGCAGTGTATGGATGCAATTTATCATCTATGGCGTACATAATTTGATGATGTTCTGGAAGCAAAAATGTATGCGTTTGCTGCAAGGCAAAAGCTTGCGCTAGTAGCTATCTCGATTGACCATTTGCAACGTCAGGAGCAATTCTTGTGGAATTTAGGATTATGGTTACTTAAATAGTATAAATAAGACGATAATTAGCTGTATAACATATTTTTATATTTTACAAGTGTTTTATTATATGACAAGTTATATAAGAAAAAAGCTATTTATGTAATCTACGTCAATATCAACTGCAAGTTGAAGCATGTGAAGTCATGGAAGCGACTGCGCAAGAGTTGATTGGTAAAGTTACTAATCAACCGGAAGTACTTCAAATGGCAATTTGACTGCTTTAGATTTGAAAAATTGTCAAATCATTTAATCTAAAAGAAATTTAAAAATTTGATTGGAAGCAATTCAAGAACTATTGACAGAATCTGTTGATTCTGAAATTCTCGGTGGAATAATTATTTTGAATGCTCTTTGGACGAAAAATGTTCAGAACTAAAAAAAAAAAGCTGAAATCATATCTATTTGACAAATATTATATTAATTATTTTCATTTTCTTGTAAACAAATTCTAATTTCGATTATAAGATTGACATTGTATTTTTATTATTTACACTTTACCACTATTTGAAAGTACATTGTGACTGTATTCTATCATCACTTGTATCATTTAGTACATATGATGATAAGATTATCATCATTTTGAATCAATTTAAATCAATCCCTTATAGTCATTTTTAATTTGCTATATTATTATCACAATGAATCATTTTAACTTTGCATTAAAAAACTTTTTGAAGAACTCAAAATTTGACGCTTAACTGTTCTCCAATGCTAGCATTGTCTAATAGTTGCAAAGTACATCAAAAACAATAATAAAAGACATTTTTAATTCAATTAGAGAATGCAAAAAACAACTAATTTAAATAATATTTGTCACCAATGAATGTATTTTAAATGGAAAAATTGCATATTATTTCTAAAGAAATTAATTCATTCAAAATTATTGAATTTTTAAAATTAAAACACAAAAATATATAATATTGTATGAAGAGTAAGAAGATTCTAAATAGCAAAAATACATGAAAAGATGCATCAAAAATATATTAAATATAATTAAAAGAAAATTAAAATTAAAGAATATTTTCTTTTAATAAATTGGGTTTCATTATTTTTTAATTATTGAATGTAAAATTTTTTAAAAAAAATATATCAATAAAAATATTGAATCATGATTGATTTTATTCAATCTAAAATAGCGGGCTTACAAAAATATATAATATAATGTGTACTTATGTAAAAATATAAAAATAAATAATTTTTAGCATTGAAAAATTTAATTGTGTTAATTTTTAACAAAATATGTTTTTAATTAAAAATACATGAAACTTTTTTTATTTAAAAAATTAAAAAAATCATTACTAAAAATTTTAGAACTTAAAAAAAATAAATATATTTTTTTAAAAAAAATATTTTTATTAATAAATAAATATATTAATAATTATTTTTATTATAAAAATCTATTACTAAATATTTTTAAAATATACCAATTTTATTTTATTTTTGAAAAATACGTAATTTTTATTATAAAAACTAACAAATAAAAAAATTTACTAATTTTCTTAGAAAAATTATGAAAACATATCAATATTTAATGTATTTCTCAATTCTTTATTTTTCTTGTACTCTTCAAGACTGAATGATCCAACAACGTCGATTAGCATTGATTACATGACTGTAGTTCAAAACTTGTTCAAAATCGCGTACCTACTTCAAACGTAAACATCCACCTACAACGATTTTAGATTCATACAATTTTAGATCTTTTTAAAATAAATTAAATATTCCAAAATTAATATATATATTCAAAAAATATATTAAAAATAAGAAAAAAAATATGATATTGAAATTTTTTTTTATAAATGAGGCTTCATTATTTTTAAATATTGAATGTTAAAAACTTGAATTAAAAAATGATACCAAAAATATATAAAAAAAATGAATTGAATCTTAATTTATTTTAATTAATTAAAAAAATCGGAAAGCAATAATATAAAATATTTCATTTATTAAAATATAAAATATTTATTATTACTATTGAAAAAAAATTTCTGACATTTTTGAACAAAATTTTTTTTTCTTAGAAAAAAATTAAAAAATTATATTGAAAAAAAATTAAAATGTGAATACTTACAGTATTAGAATTATAAAAACATAAATTTTACCTTTTATTTTTAAAAAAAAATTCCAAAAAAAATTTAAAAATTTAGATTTTTATTTTTAAAAAATATAAAATCTTATTAGTAAAAATTTTAGAAATATAAAAAATATTTTATTTTTATTTTTTGAAAAAAAAATAATTATGAAAAAAAATATAAAAAAATAATGTATTTTAAAAAAAATGTGAAAACATATCAATTTATTTCTATTACAATTTTATTTTTTTTGAATATATTTAATTTATGACATTTATTATATATGATGCATAATATATTTAAATTTATTGTATTTTGATTTTCTAAAGACAAAATCTATCCAAAAACTGATTCAAAAGCATGATTAAATGTTTAATTTAATTTTTAATCAATTTATTTTTAACATCTATTGAATATTTATTTGCATGTCATTTTTTCATATACTGAAAAAATAGTTTATTGTCTTTAGCTTTCATCAATTTATAGGGTGGATAGCAATGAGATAAGTATATATAACATCAAAATTTATTTTTTTTATAATGTTTGTTTGATAAACAAGCATTTTAGATATTTTTAAAATGAATTGTTTCATTTTTTAATTTTGGACTAGCATTCATCATTTGATAAACAAAAATTAGATTTTGTTTGAATTGATAATTATTTTAAGTTACATTGTATTAAATTTTGTTTCATATGTACTTATAAAAACATTACACAAAATTTCATAAATATTTGAGATTTAATTCAATTGACAAGGTTGAATGTTGATTTCTTAAGCACATTTATATTTCAAAAACATGACAATGCAGAAAAATTGTATTGTAGTGTTGAATCAAACACAAATATTTTTTTGTATTGAATTTAATTTAGTTTTTAAACAAATTTACATTGCTTGAGCAATAATAAGTTTTATATATTTGTGTGTATTGAACATACTCAAAAAAAATTAGATGAAAAAATTATTTTTACAAAATAAAATAATAGGAAAAAAGATCAAGAAAGTTAGCATTAAATTTTTCAAAAGTAATTCACATGAAAAAAATAAAGTTTAAAAAATGAAAAAAATTAATTTTTAAAAAAATTTAAAAATTTTATTAAGAGCCAATTTTCTAGTTAAAAATAAAAAATATGGAAGAAATATGTGAAAAAAAATTATACACATGCCAAAAATTAAGGTAGAATATTTTTACTTGTTGATATAAGCACTTAAGCAATATTTTTATATAAAACAATTTCAAACATGATTGAAACTCTTTTAAACTGATGTTTTTTTTAATCAAATTATGACATAAATTGCACGATTATACATATGATTTGGTATAAATTTAAAAAATCTGGCATTGAATATAAGTGGCAAAAAATAAATTTTTATTCTATAAGCTTATTAAGTATCTTTTGTAAATTATTGTGACAAAGATCATAGCATCAAAATAGTAAGATGATTTAAAAATTTTGAAAAATATATTTTATTTATAAACCATAGCATACAAAATAAACGTTAATAAAATAAAAATAAAAATAAAATTTTCAAAATTTTTGAATCAAAGACTCTCCTCTGATACCATTTGTCACGTTAAAACTTGAGAAATACAAGAACACCAAAATAACGTGGTTCACCCTCGGGAAAGAGGGCTACATACACCAGAACTTGAAAAATCTTTACTCCAAGTTTTGTACAAGGTGAAGCCCAAGGTCTTTATCCTTAACGACCGTACGAACTATAGTACGAGCTATAAATAATTAGGACCGGAGTTTACTCCTGAACTAGAGTTAACCTCAACAATTCTAAGGTAAAATAAAAATAAAAAATTCATAAAATAGAAAGATGATTCAACTCTATTAAATTTCAGTAATTGACTCACTAGTTTTTTGACAAAATATTTAAAGAAATCTATTTAAATCATCCAATATTACGCTAATCAAATTACGTATTCAAATATGATTCTATTAACTGTAGATTATTGCAAAATTACAAGAATTCCAATCAAAAAATTTTGATTTCAAATATCTACTTGATTTGATTCATTTAAATTTTATTTTTTATATGATTTTTTGGATCATTTTTTTTGCAAAAAAAGTCTAAAATAAAAAATTTTGAAAGTATCTAACACAACTTATAAACTTACAAATTAAACATACAGAGTAATTGTAAAAAAATATATATATCATTTCATTGATAAAGGAACAAATTAATACAAAAATAATAAGATTTTTTTAATTTATTTTTAGACTATAATAACCGTTTTAAAATGTAAAGATGAATGGTGTGCATATAAATTTGCAATAAATTTTTAAATATCAACTAAAACATTTAACTGCAAAACCAAATACATAAGATTAAAATTTTAAAATTTATTTGACATCAACTTAAATAATAAAATATTAATTTATAATTAAGTGATCAAAAATTGATTGTTAATCAAATAAAATTTTAATCAGTTATAACTCTAAAAATTAAAAAAAATTAATTCAAACTTTAAAATTAAATATACATGTGGACTCAATGATTACTGTGAATAGGCCTTGGCAGGGTAGGGTAACCTTTTGCTGCTACTCGATAAAAAGGTAAAATGTAGGGGTAATATGTAAAAATTACACTATAGTTTAGGTAATGAGCAAAGTAAAGGTAAAGCAAAATAGATTACCTGGTTACTCAGTAATTACCTGGTACACCAACTAGGTAACCCTTGACCATTGCAAAAGTTTGCCAAGGAGTTCGTGGTGCATCTGCGGAATACTAGTTGAAGGCAAGGAGAACAGTTTGGATTCGATCATCCAACAGCTTGAGGAAGAGGAGGACGGCTGGGGCGAAGAGATACTCAAAGATGGTGTTATTGACATGCTTCACTTTAAATTTTAATCTAAGTAAAATAATATTAAATTTTGGAAAATGAAATATACTATATTATTTTATTTAAAATAATAAAAAAACTCTAAAATCTTATCTTTCAATTGATTTTTGGAAAAACATTTAAATTTTCAGAAAGTGATCACAAAGATAAACTTATTTACAGTTGTTGAAACTTCCAGATTTTCCTAAAATAAAAAATCTCAATCTGTTACCTCAATATATTATATTAAGTACAAAAATAAATTTTTCTGAGAGATGTAATTTGTGCATATGCGATTTTGTGACCCCATCCTTGTTCTAGCCTAGAAATTGTTTCTCTACACAAGAACAAATTTGGCACAAATGTGACTTAGAGTATGACAGCCTACCTTGGCTCTGGTTAGATCAGCATCAATGCAACTTTCAAAATTTTTAACAAATGCGTCAAAACCAAAAAAGTATCAGTGCTCAGGGAGAGCTAAAGGTTTGTCAGGGTCACATAAATCGTCTTCATGTGATGTTAATGTGGGAATACAATTCCAGTCATCGTTCTCCACTTGTAGTTGTTCAGGAGAGTTCATAAGAGTAAAAAATAAGAGTAAGAGAACAAAATTAACCAATTTCAATATAAAAAGTACAGAGTAAAAATCCACTAAAACTTCAATTATTTAACGACCAGGGATGAAAAAGAGTGACGCGAATGGAACAAAGTAGTAACTTGAATTCAAACCCGAAGTCAAGTTACTCAGTCTCGGATTCGAGTCTCGAAGGCTTTAGAGTTTTCTAACCCAAGTGATGGAGAACTCGAAATTCCTGTGTTTGTAATTAGATAGAGTCTACTCCTTGAACCTATATGTCCCAAACCACTCTCTCTTTCTAGTGTAAGGATTCCAAATTTAGGCAACCCACTTGTACTCGCAATATGCATTTTCGGGGCCTCTCTTGCCGCTCGAGTAAGTTTGGCTCCACTTCTTGCGAAGACCGTTTCAGGCTGTTTTCAATCACATTATATTGTAGGAACATACATACTTTTAAGCCGTGGAAAACAATATATATGAGCAAAAAATAATATACTATAACGAGACCTCCTATTTCTTGTATATCATGTAGGGACTTCCATGTATTCGAATTACATTCTGATTCTCTTACGCGGATCTTTAATGCACCGGATCGTTTTGCGGATAAACTTCATTCGATCTTTCCATGGGAGTGTGTAGGCGGGGAAAAAGCGTTTCCATCCCCAGCTCAGTTTGATGACCAGGGTTTCAATTTCACGGGAAGCGGCGAGAATCGTTTCTGGTGAAAAACTGTCGATGGCTTCTCCAAAGGGATAATCTTTGTGCAAACGCCACCGTTTGGGCACGCGTAGTTGTGCATGCCACGATAAGGCTTGACAAAGATCTCCATCGGAAGCGGTGTTCATCTTGTTGTCCGAGTTGTGATCTTTCATGTGAGGACGCCGTTCAGTCACGATCATGTCCATGGCATTTTTGGTACCATGGGCTGTGTGTGGTACACGACCTCACCGGAAAGGTGGCAGCTTGAATTGCTTCGTCAAGTGGAAGAACTGAAGATCCGATCCTCGACTTCACCCTCACGTCAAATTTTTAGCTCGTTGACCAATAAACAGATACAAGAACACCATTTCGTTTCATTCGTGGAACTCTCCACAACTTTTGTGAATTTCACATTCTTTACTTTCATGAATAATTACGCTCCGAGCAAATCATCTCAGAGAATGCTCCTGGCGAAGCAATACTCCTATGAAACATTTTTTAAGGAATTGTTCACGTGATAGCAGGAGCATTCCTTATAATGCTTAATGTCTCCCTCAATGTAAATGGGTGCTCTTCGATTCATTTTGACATATTGCAATTCCTGGTTTGTGTTGTTGTCGCCTGATTAATGATTATATGGAACTCCAGATCAAATGAAAGTTTATTCTCCAACTTTTCTACATTGTTTTTCTCACGAATAAGCACACGCGCTCATTCATATCTATCAACATTGACATCACCACTCAAATTGATGATTACTGCCGTACCGCATGACATGTTGGAAGACTGACCCGAGCATAAATCACTTCGTAAGTTCGAAGAAAACATCGACTCGGGTTGCGGCCGAGTTCTCCCACCGAGAATGCCATCCATCAAGCCACGTGGAAAAATTTTCCAACGTGGAATAAAATTGTCCACCGTGGAATTGATGACGTGGAGTAGAACAAGGAGCAGATGCGGAATGGAATGGAAAGAAATGCGAATGGAAGGAAAAGGGAAGGAAGGAAGGAAGGCAGGCAGAGGCGGAAGTGGATGAGACGGTGGGGCTCGTGTGGGTTGAAAGATATGCGCTTTTGGACCAAGATTGGTCCAGCCTCCGGTCTGGCAGATAGAGTGCAAGCCCCTCGGGCCTTCGCTTCGCCTCCGCGAGGCGACCGGTGAGGTTCCGCCACGTGTCAAAAATGCAGCCTCTGATAGGGCCCTGGAAGATTGCACCCTATCCCATCGTCTCGGGCCAGGCCCTCCGCTGGCCTCGCGCGCGCCCTGTCCGCTGCCGTTGTCTCGCTCTCGCTGCTGTCCCCTTCTTCAATTCAATCTCGATCTCTACCTCCGATTTGTGAGCATTCCTTCCGTCTCCAGCAGCACCTGCAGACTCAATCCGTTTCGCAGTCCGATCCCGAATTTCGTCGACTTTCACCATGGCCGCCGTCGCTGCGTCTGCCTCATGCCTCACCGTGGCCAACTGCCTCGTGCAAAAGAGCCTCGTCGCCTCGTCCAGCCGCGTCGCTGCGCCCGTCAATGGTACGTTTCAGTTCGTCTTCGATTTCTGTCTGTGCTTTGCTTGAACGTATCCGACGTATCCAAAATTCGTAGAATGAGATCGCAATGACGAATTTTGGCCATGCCCGGGCCGCGACGTGCCCACAGCTTTCTTGGTGCTGGGAATGGTAGTCCAAGAATTAAACGGAGCGTACGGAGAGCTGCAGCGTGCTTCGAGTAGTAGAAATGCTGTTGATTTCGAATCGCGGAGGACTATGCTTTAGCAGCTGGTTTCTTAGTTCATCAGCGTGTGAATGTAATCTTCTCTCCCAGCAGCGGCAAGAATTGGCGTGTCCATGTATTATTGACGAGCTGTGAGAGTGGAGAGAGAAGGCCAATGATCCTTGGAAAGGATTGAGTGGAGGATGTTAGTAACAGGGGAGTTTCCATGTCAACTGCAGGGCTGCCAGCTTTGAGGATGTCACGATTGGTCTGCTCTGCTGAGAAGAAGGAGGAGGTACACAGCGCCAAGATCGCTGCCTCCGCTGCATCTTTCGCTGCCTTCGCTGCCGCTAACCCCGGAGCTGCGTTCGCTTTGGTCGACGAGAGACTGTCCACTGAGGGAACTGGTTTGGGTTTGGGATTGAGCAACCCTAAGCTCGGATGGATCTTGATCGGAGTCACTGCCTTGGTCTGGTCTCTGTACTTTGTCTACGCTTCCGGACTCCCAGAGGGTGACGACAACAGCGGTCTCGACCTATAGATGAGGAAAAGATCAATCCCACTGCGGGATCTTTGAACTTTCCTTCAATGAGAATCAATTTACCATTTCTCTAATGTAAAGTAGGTAGCAGTAGTTCACGTTGTACACTGGTGCTGTGTATCTGTGATTAATTCGGTGACATCTTGTAAACTCTCGCTGTTGGTATGACGAAGTGCCCAAAAATTTTATTGCATTGAATCGGTTTCATTGTTCGCTCATTCGACACTATGGTCTTCGATGTGTCTCAGCTTGAGAGTGGATTCACTTCTTGATCCTTGCTAACATCTTTGCGTTTTTCTTTGTGGAAACTCAATCGCCTATGTTGGAAAATATTGATCTGTTGCCCTGTGGATAGAATTTGTATTGTCGTTATGAATGTGTTTGTGTGTAGAAGAAGTGAAAATATAATGCGCTGCGCAACACTTGTAACAAGAAATCGACCTCTGAAAAACGAACAGTAGTCAAGTGAAAGAAGATGAAAATTGATGTAAAATATACATATGTGAACCGTATCGACAATATGAAAAAATAAAATTTAAAATCAATATTATCTGTTATAAAATCATTGTTATTAAATTAGAAAAATCATGATGAAAAGAAAAAGGTAAAAAACGCGAAGAAAACAATACTGTTAAATAAAAAATCCGCAAAAAAAAACTTTTGCAAAATACAAATTCACAATGAACAGATGTAATCAATATCAAACCATAATAAATTATATAAACAACATTTTAAAACAATTAATATTATGCTTTCCATAAATAACGGAATAGAATGTCATAAAATAACCGTTTAACCCCAAATACATTATAGATAACAATACACTTACTCACGTGTATTAACTAATATGTTCGTTTGTAATGATAGAGTAACCTCTTACACAACATGAAATCGCATATACTACGTTTCGTAATGGTGACTTCCTCCAAGCGATATACAACTTGCGTCAGTAAACTTTTCAAGACAAACAAAATTAATTTTACAAATGGCTATGAAACCTGTCAGCATCACAAATATTTGATCATACTACATGTTTGCAGCTCGAGGGTAGATATTTGTTATGTTTCTCATATCCAAACTCGATATCAAAAGATATAATATTATTAACGATCTAAGCAACAAACCACCACCATAAACATGAATTGAAGCTTTAAGTTGGAAATGTTAAACATTTAAACCTACTAACTACATCTCGAAAAGTATTCATCAAAGTTATACTTCTACCCTAACTTGTGTGACTCTAGTATTCCATTGTATTTTAACCTTTGAAGCAATTATACTCTCTAGATCTATAATTTTATTTTCATGATGTGACTATTCATTGATTAAGAATTAGTAGGGGTAGATTAAGTGTAAATAGATATTAAAATAATAATTTTATAAATATATTATTCGTAGATTATAAGTAATTTCAAGATATGAGTCCCTAATTTTGAATGCTGAAATATGAATTTTTTATATCATTTGACTCAAAAAGTGTGTTATTATTTTTTCCTCCTCATCAAACTAGTTGGCTTTTCAAAATGACATAATAAAATTTTTCAAGTGTATATTTTTTAGAACTTCAAAACATATCACTATACTTGAAAAGTTAATAATATTTCAATGAAAAATTGGTGGCATAACTTGTGATATGTTCATAATTTTTTGCAAAAATAGTTTATAATACTCTTTCAGTGTTGACTGTTGAGATGCAAGCATACAAACATTCGGATACACGCAGTTATCACCTGTATGTGGTTCACCTATGCTAAGTCTACTTACACCAAAACATAGAAGGGATATATTGACAAATCTAAGATATGAGTCTCTTATATAGTATCAAGTTGATCATAGCCAAAATAATTATAGTAACAATAATTTGAGTTGATAAGATATGAGTTAATTTCTACCCATCTTACTTTTAATAATATCGAGAAATTTGTGAAATATATAATCAAAATGATTATATTGCAAAAAACTTGTAGAAGAACATCTAACAGTGGAGCTTTGTAAACTAGAGCTCATTGTAATGAAGTCAAACTTGAAGTAAAAGAAAGTGAAATCATACACAGAATTCTAAAAATATTTGTTACTAAATCTAGTTGTGTTCTTCATGTAATACTTACATAATATTACAATGTCTACTTAGAGTTTTAAAATGAATAATTTTGATCAATGTATCATCTCGAGTGAATTTCAAATCAATTTTGATTAGTTCAATCTCCTAATCAAAAACCATAACCATAATAACATTCTATGTTGATATGCTTATCTTACTTAGTCACTATTCAGGATGATAAGCATATCAACCATCACAATTTGATTAAATCTTGTACAATCTTGCTTCAATTTCATTTCAGTGATGAGTTGTTCAACAAAATAGTTAACTTTCATATATTTTTCCCAATTATTTACTTAATTCCAAAAATTGCTTAAGCTAAACAATTTTTTTAAATTGAAGAATTTTTCTTTAACTGGAAACATATATATAATTATGAATTTTTTCTTTTTCAGATTTGTTCATATTTAACATTGATATATTCTAACAAAGACTTGACATTGGTATTAAACAATCAAACCAAAGAGTTTAATCTTTATTACTCTTCATGTTTCAAATAATTCACATCAAAAAATTTCATTCATACACATTAGATTCACATATATTTTGCATCTTACACAGATCTGGAGCAATATCAAATTTATTACTCATCAAATGCATAATATTATCTATGATCACAATTAATCATATAATATAATAATTTTTAGTGTAATAAATGAAATAAATTGCTCCATACAGGTCAAAAATACTTTCATAGAATTCTAACCTGATCAATAAAAATATATTGACCAATGTTGGATAATAGTGCATCAAATGAATATGTGCAAAAAGTTTTAAATTATGATTAAATTCACATTCAAAAGTATTCTTGCAAGCAACAAATTCTGCAAATAAATTATCATGTGTAAATCCATGGTTAAATTTGCTTTGTGGACAAAAAGTGATGTTAGCTGAGCTAAAATTATTATTATTTTAAGTTAAATTAAAAATTTACCATCTTATTATATTCATACCAACTTGAAATCGCAACAATTACACAAAATTTTTTATAATATCAGTGGCTATGACATTACATTTTATTTGAATAAAAATGTGTGATGAGATTCGTAAGCAACCCAAAGATGAAATGAATGACAAGAAAATCCAAAATTGTGATATATAATCTTGAGTACATTAATTTTTTTGTGATTAGGAAAACAATACACAAGTAAAGAAGTATTTAAGTCCAACATCTATAATAACTTGGTGTGAAATTGAAACCCTTAAAGAAGAATTAATAATAATTTTAACTTTCTAAGTTCATATGTATGTTAAAAAATAGAATTATGAATATTACAAATTTTAAATTGTCAATAATAAATCATGATGGTGGTCGATACAACATTTTGATTGCTCAACAAAAATCAATAAAACTAGAGGTTTATGTTAATTATAATTAAAACAATGATGAAATTTCTATTTGATTAAATTTGAATTACATTTGATGATTATTTGCTACATTGTCATGAATGTAATTTTACGCCATCATCGTTCAACATTTATTCATACAATATTTCAATATATCATTTAATACACTCTTTTTTGAAGCTTAAAACTATTTCAAAATAAAGATTTCATTAATACAAGCTATTCAGAGAGTTTCTTCAAGTTTACATGAAATGAATCTTGTATATTTTTACTTTTTCAAATTATAATATTTTTACTTTTTCAAATTATAATATTATAAATGATGATAATTATAATTCAATTTGATTTCGTTAAATTTTTCTATTTTTCTATCATTAATCTTTGTGAAGAAAATTATATGACATTGATTACTTAGACTTGATATTTGATTGATTCTATATTAAGATTACAAATTGTTATTGTAATCCTTTAGTTAAATACTTTAAGTTAAACACTAAGTCAAATTTAAACTGAATCCAATCAATCAAAATTATTTATTTAGTCAAACATATCAAAATTTAAATATTATTCAAAAATATTTAAATTGAAATTTCTTCTTCAATAAAAAATGAATTTCATTCACAATTTCTAAAAATTATATCATTTTTATATTGAAATTTATATAATCAATATAATCAATATTTTCAATGATTTTATGATAAATATAATCATACAGCAGATCAACAATAATTACATAAATGAATAAAAAAATTATAACTAAAAGAAAAATTGACAAAAAGTTTTGACAATTCAACTCAACTACAAGACACACAAGATATCTTACTACTAATATTATTTTTACTTTTTGTTTGTTGTTTCTATTTTCTATATTAATCTGCTCAGTCTAAATTCATTCTAGTTATGTACATTGAATTATAGTGCAAGGTCATGTTTAGGTATGCCATTGTATTTTACTTTCCACACTATGATAAAGATTACATGATTATTAACATTAACATCCATACAATCACAACACAGATATGATATATCTCGTTTAGCTTATGAACAAGATAACATCAATATTGTTGTATATGATTGGGATAACTATTGGTTTTTATATATAATGATGAATTAATTGAATTTATTATTTATGAAAAAATCATCAAATAAAATGAATAAATATTTGTGTGAAAATTTTACACAGAATATTCATATGAATATCAATTATCAAAATATATTTTTTGATCTATATATATTATAGTTTGAATAATATTATGATTTTATACGATATTTCATCGATACAACATTCATAGTCATATTATAATAGTATGATATTTCATTTTATTTCAATTCAATATTGCAAATAGAAAACATATTGTTGATTACTATTGATGAACAACTTTTGTAACTATTATCAAATATAATGTATAATTATGAAACTTGTTTAGTTGTATGTCGCAATGAAAGTGACAAATATGTTAATATAATAACAGAAAGCATTTGTGACATACCAAAATCCAAATTACTCCTTGATATAATCAATTATCCCAGGTTTTGTGATGTAATGCCTACGCATTACATTACATATTGTATGTGTGTATTGTAATGTAATTAACTGTATTGTATTGCATGATATATAGTGATGGAACTCTTCATTATTATGAGTCTAGGTGACATTCAAACTTTGTATCTAATATATGTCTAAAGTAATGCTTCTAGATACAATCCAAGAACTGCGAGGTCACTTGCAACACAAAAATGCTTTTGCAAAACAAATAGAACGTTTGAATC